TCCTCGTCTCCACAGATTGGGATCCATTTTGAGATGGCCAGTTTTGTAGAAGAGAGTATAATGGAGGACCTGTTACACTATGTCATCCCCCATGTACGTATGACTGAACAATGAAATTAATCAAAACATTCATTCACATGTGTGACTTCAAATGGAGGGAGAGTAGAAAGATTAAACAAAAAATGGTTAGCAGGTAGTTTAAAACTAGATTTGCCTAAATTAAATTAGCTTGAAGTTAAACTTTTTTGTTTGTCAACAGAATCTATAATTGTCTGCCTGTATTTACATGTTGATATAATAGAGTATGTTTGATGTCTTGCTTTCTAGTGTCTTGATGTATTTTTAAAAGTTCACAGATTTTTCTCTCATATAGTAAACAAAATACATTATGATCTGGCCAGTCCAATAACAACATTTACTATAGAAAAATTATTTTTGTTTAAAGGAATCATTCTGGCCCATTTTATTGTCTTTGTAGTTTCAGCCTGTAGCTTATATGCTGTGGTAGAACTCCACTGTTGTCCAGAAACATCTCAAAACACATGAAAACCATACTGTTGCATTGGTTTCCTTCATTGCAGCACAGCGAGTGTGGTTCATTCCCCCCGGGTCTGCAAAATAATAATAATAATAATAATAATAATAATCTTTATTTGTTGAGCACTTTTCAAAAACAAGTTACAAAGTGCTTTAACAAGTGTAAAGACAATAATACCCAAAAAACAAAAATAACACCGTCAGTCAAACAGATGTGCATACCTGAGTATGCACATCCACCTGACTCAGACTTATTAGATTAAACTAAACTTGCTATGTTGAATACCGTATGTCACTTACTGTGATGGTATGGGTTTCGTGCACAGTTCAGTTAAGGGCAGGTGCTTATTTGATCACTCATCCTGACTCTGCTTTCCCAGGCGGACTCTTTAGGCATGAATGAACAGGAGCTTCCCAACCTGCTCAGTCTACTTAAAGGCTCCAACATCACAGTGTTGTCAGACCCAAACCCCCGTGTAGCCACTGTCCTCGACCAGATGAGGGAGGTCTATCGCATTCTGAACCAGCGCTACAAGGATGCCAGTGCAGACAGCGACACAAACAGTGCAAAGGCTAAGCCACTTACTCGGCTCCACGTTCACACACTGGCCTTTCAGGCCATGATTGTGACACGTGGCTCCCAGTGGAAGAACACCATGTCAGCCACAGCCAAGGCCTCTCTCACAGCTAACCGCCATGTCTGCGGCTCTAATGATATTGACCCCAGCAAGGCGAGGCTCATAATGGATGACTCCTTCTCTGTCAGCCGTCGGGAAGGCAGCCAGCGTATCCCTCTGCAGGAGACCCGGCCCGTCAGCTGCTGGGATGAGGACGATTACGAGATCTGCGTAGCTCCAGTGCTGGTGTGCACTGAAGTTTACCAAACTGCAGGTGGAGGGGATAACATCTCTGCTGCTGGTCTGGTGCTGCAGATTTAGAGAAAGGACACTATATGGTCTATCTGTGTGTAGCGTTACCTAAATGTTGGGGAAAAAATGTGACCCTGGAAACTCGATCTTGTTGGGATGCAAAGTAGCTGTTGTGGCAAACATAGGTACTGATTATAAAATGTATCCGGCTAATGCTGTCACACCTGCAGTTCATGGCCCAGGTGGACCAAAAGGAAAAGTGATGGGGTCAGGTGATGGGGGTACAATGGTTATTAATCAGGTTAGACAACTAGATTTTAAATTTACAAGCAAAGTTTTGATTTTTGAAGGGAATGCTGAGGAAAAACTGGTAAACTCAAACATGACCGTTTTGTAAAGTTGAGTGTATTTATGTTTATATTGGATAGGAGGGCATCATCACCGATTTCATCCCTTTTTCATTGTCAACATGCATATCTACACTGTGCCTGAGTGCAAAGGCCTTTTGCATCCAGTTGATTTAGATATTAGAACCAAAACATTTACGGAGACACCGCCCTGCCCTTCCCAATTGAATTTAACGCATGCAACATCTTTGACAGTCTTTGTAGCTCATCATCTGACTCCTGTCCTCCTTTACTTCTCCAAGGCCTTACAAGACTTTGCCTTCAGCCAGGATGAGATAAAGAGGGATGAGGTTTGGATAAAGTCATAAAGACGCCATGCTGGGTAGCCTGTGGCATGGTGTTTTTGAATTGTGTATCAAGACTTTGAATGCATCATAACTTTACTCTGGTTGCAGGGCATGAAGTTTTGAATGGGTTAGGATAAATTCTCTTGTTTTAACCTGTGACTCCACTATGCAAACATATCCAGAGTTGTGTAATTAAATAGCTGAATCTTCTGTTTCTTGGAAGCACTTTTATAGTCACCTACATAAAATCGTAGAAAAAAGCCAACCTGAAGGCTGAAAGGTTAACAACCGGTCACATCTGAAACCTTTTTAATGTGAAGGCGCCGTCCTGCCTCTGCCCTCTGCTGTCTCATTCTCAAAGGCAAAAAGATTTAAAGTAGAAATCTAGGGAGATTGTCGCCTCCTGTTCTTCCTAATATATGTGAAAAATGTGCATACTGGTTTGGGTGTGTTTGATTAGCATTCCTCTGTGTGTTAGTTGCAGTGCAATAATGCAAAAACAAGGTTAAGAGACCGCTGTTGGTTGCTGGATATGATGTCAAAGATTTCCTCTCTACCTCCAAATTCTTTTTGCGTCAGCTTCCCTTTTTGCCTCTTCTCATTGTCTCTTCCATGTTATTTTGTCAAACCTTTCTTTTATCTGTCACATTTCTTGACTGTTCCTTCTTCCCTTGTCTCTGTCTATTTATGGCTCTTTAAGGACCAAAAAACCTAAGTGGACTGCCGCTGATAACATTGCAAGTTACTGGCAGGTGGTTGTCACATTCTCACATGATATGGCTGCATACAGTGAAACACATATCTAGTTTTAGATTTTTGAGAAAGAGGGGGTTAGCAACATGAAATTGTAAGCTTGACTTGAAGTGTTACCATGAATCCCTTTTAATCTGTGGAGGAGTGGATCACACAGAAGATATTTATTAAAACATTACATTTTCTGTGTGATCCACTCCTTGCAGTAAGATATCTTTAACTCTTCACTCCAACTCTATGTCAAAGCCACTACTTTCTGAATTTATAACCATTTTCTTATATTATCTTATCATTATTATTATTATAAGTGAAAAGAGGGCCGTGCCTCTAAAAGGCTGTCAATCCTAGTTTCACTTTTCTCAGGAATCCCTTTTATTTGAAACTGCATTTACAGACGAGACTGGACTTAAACTATACTATTTTTCTCACTATGTACAAATCAAACATTCCATCTAAGACCCAGCTTCTCCATTCAGAATGAAGTATGTTTGACAACTACACCTCAACGTGCAGGTGGAGAATTTCCCCTTGCTTACAGTTTTTTATTAGTCAAGTATTGAGCTGCTTCTTAAAGCCCCTTTCAACGGAGGAATACATATACTTGTTGCATTGTAGCATGAATATGAGGTGAAGAGAGAATGAAGAACCTAAAGGTGAAGAAACCCCTTTAAATCTTTAATGTTTATCAAAACTCTACTGATTTGCTGTGGTTTGATTTGTGCTGGAGGTGAATGAGCCCGATTCTGTTCTGCCTTTTGGTGTTTAGTGAAAAGGGAATATTTAATACAGATGTTTCCTATTATTGTAGTATGTTTTATTTTCTGATGTCTTTGACTTTGTGATTGGAAACCAAAAGTTAACGGGTCATTGTTTTTACTGTGAAATGTTTAAAGCAGAACTTCAGCATGCATTCATGCTCGGATGGAGAGCTGCTTGTGTCTGCTACCATATCACATACTTATCTAAGCTCTAGATAAGGCATGCCATCCCTGTTCCAAAGCTGTGTTTGACTGTTTCGTGCATGTATTACTATTGAATACAGAATCACCTAAGATAAAAAGCTACGCTGATAAAGCAATCATTTTGTCATACATGGGGAGTCATTTATTGATCAGGTTCATGCCCATCATGCACTGAACTCTATAATTCTTCTACACATTTGTGATGAGGAATATGGGATCGTCGCATCATGGCTTCTTTGTCACAACATCATAATTTAGCGTGGTGAAGGTTGCTTCCTTTCTTCTCTCTTCTAAGATTGCACACATTTCATTTTTAGTTTCATGTAGTCACTTCATATGGGCATCGTTCCTCCTGGTCTTCATCGTGTTACTGATTCCCGCCTGTCCATTGGCTGCACATACAGTCTAACCTTTTGTTAAATGAATGACCAGATTACCTCCTACTTCTCCCAGATATATCAGCGAACAATGAATATTCTCAGTTGCAGCTTGGGGAGGGGCTGGATTTACACTTTTAAATTGCACAAAGACTTTATTTTATTACTGCTGCGAGTTGTCTGTACAGTATTTTCAGGAGTGCAGAGTATCCCCGTCCCTGACTACCTTAAGAAATAAGGTAGAAATAAGCACAGCTTCACTTTCACAATAGTACCCTGCATTTGTTTGATACATTTATGTATTCAACCAACAAACAGGAATTAGTAATAACGGGTTCATACATGTAACCTACAACCACTCTCACATGAGCTTAATCCCTCATATCTAGTACACAAGATTAAAAACAAACATTGTACAAGCCTATAAAATTCCACCTACTGTATAAATCCACCTCTGCAGAGCTTTTAAGGAGCCTGTGCTATTTTAAGAACTGGCACTACGCTTCAGCCTCTATTTTGAGGCCATGTTCTGGGGTTTGGTCAGGCAGCAAACTCCCTTTCTCAAATACAGCTTTTCTGTCTTAAATACACAAACACATTTCAGTACCTCCGGATTATCTCAAGATGTCGAAATGAAAGGAGTAGATCCCCGGACACAAGCAGTTTGAGTTACTTATTAATTCCATTCAAGTGTAAGATTACAACTAATGTGTTTTCCATTATCTGGCAAACCTGAGTAGATCACAGTTGCGTGTGGTGATCTTGATTTCTGACTTCATGTAGAAATTAGACTGCATCACTCGCTTTATACATTAACTGTACTTTCCAATTTAATGTGATTTTGGAAAACCTCTTAGATAATCATGGACATTTAAGTTAATACATTTTTAATAACGTATTAATTATACAGTATCAGAACTACAAGCCCATCCTAAAAACATGCAGACATGAACACATAACACACACAGAACAGTGTGTTTGTAATACTGTGTGTTATATGTTAAACAGTTACCGTGACTTTCTACATGTCAGGGTCAATGGTCAGCTGGTTGATTAAGTCTTTGTAATAGATAAGGTTCTTCTCATGATCAGCGAGTGCTGTCAGCATCTCATCCATCTCCTCCTGAGTAAAGAGCTCACCTGGTTTAAACACAAGCGACAAAAAACACACAGCAGCCATGGTTAAAATACAGTTTTACATTATAGGTTGTTTTCTAGAAGTAAGGGTTAGAGACACAAAAACATATATATGAGATAATGACCGTTTCACCACACACTTCTCACAGTAAAAACAGAAAGCATCTGCTTTACCTTCCTGTGTCATGTACTTTGTCAGCTCCTCAGGTTCCAGGTATCCTTTCTTCTCTTTGTCCAGAACCTGGAAAAACACTTATTGCCTTCATGCTTTAAACAACAAAAATTTAACCTCACTCCCCTCTTACAAAACCACACTCAAAATCCACCTATTTAAATCCACTTTTAACCTGTGATCATTAGCCCGCCCCTCTCCTTTTCATTATTGTAGTTGTTTTATACTGTTAATGCTTCTACAGTTTCTAGTTGTTTGTAGTTGTTTTTATACTGATGTTGCTCTTCCTGTTTCTGTTATTGTCTTGTAAAGTGCCTTTGAGTAAAGTGCTACACAAATAAAATGTATTATTATTATTATTATTTAGACACTATGCAGTCAAAGGTGCTGAAAAGGGATGTTGCAGGAATCTGTGGTTACCAGATAAAATTGAGAAAGTGTCAGCTAACCTGTTAAAAGCTCATAAACTACAGCACTGGAGAATATGAGGAAACAGCAGCTGGCCTCACCTCAAAGGCCTGAAGCAGAAGGTCCTCAGGTATGGGAGGGAACCTAAAATACACACACACACGGTTTTCACAAAAATGTAAATTACGGAGCATGCACTTTAGAACCTATTTAGCAGCTTTAACAACAAAAAAGCGCAAATTTGTGGCAATTATTATTTAACTCTTGTACGGTCTGGTGGACCCACAACATTATTGTGGTTTTAAAACAATAAAGCCATAAAAATATATGTAAAAATACTTGACAGATGTTGACTTCATTTCAGTTTCAAGCAGTTATGGTTAATATTTGCCATTTACCATTGCTAGATCAGATTTATCACTAAATATGCTATTAGTTTTTGTGATTTTTGAGATTCTCTGGTTAACTGTAATAACAAGCCACCAACGCAAAGCTATTTATTTGTTGTGTCCCTCCCCCACTTTGAGGTTAGAGTGAAATAACATTATACAGGTGGTTGTAAAACAGTGTGTCAAACATGTAGTTTGACACACTGTTGACACATGGTACAGAGTGCAGGGAAAGAAAAACTATTTCAGTATACAATTTTTCTAAGTGGGTTCCACAGACCCAAATACTACACAAGGGCTAAATAAGTCTGACATTTGGTGATGAAAAAAACATAATCTTAAGGTGTAATGATCAGACAACAGCCCACAGTGGTAGCCTTTGCAGACCTTTACAACACACATCTATTTTGTGAAACACTGCAGTAACTTCCTCATTAGATTTACCAAATAGAAATCAATCTGAAAACTCATACCAGTGAAAGGTCAGGCATTTGCTCCCACAGTACCATCTTGTAGAAAGACCCGCTACATAATAAATAATTAGGTTTAACATGAGCACCTCTTTGCATCATGACATCATCACCCTCAAAATTCAGCATTTTTATTTATTCAGGTTCAGTTATACAAACAAAACAACACAACTGGCAAGATAATAGAAGTGTCTTACTTGTGCTCCAGCAGCACTTTGGTCATGGCTGGGAGGAATCTTTCCAAATGGATATATCCTGTGTGGTCCTCTTCCACCTGGTTCAATAGGACAAATATGCTGTGTTTTGGTTCTTGAACAAGCTCTGTCTGACACCTGTCTCTGTACATTATATCTTTCAGGCATATAGGTAATTTGCAAAACAGCAAATTAACAATAAATGCAACATTTAAGATAATCAGATGGTATTTTAAATGAGGGTGACACTAGGAGGTGTAATAGATACTCAAACCAGTTCTTTTATTTATCCAAAATATGACCAAAATATAAGTAAACACTGTTCTGACCTCAGCTATAAAGTCATGTAGGTCTGCCTGAGAGGGGAAGCAACCCAAGGAAAAGATGATGGTGCCAATCTCCCTGTAAAACAAACATCATGTTGTTGAGGAATTTTAGTGGTACTATGACACAGGTTTTCCCCAGGATATTATGGTCAATTGCTGAGCTAAAGTAAGCCAAAGGTGACAGTCAGTGACTCTCAGACAAGTAAGTCAGACTCTGTCTCTCCTCTCTGCCTGCATGTTCAACTGACTGATGCAGCTGCCTTGATAAGGATGCACTGCTATCCATTTGAGGCTGGTTCCACACACTCATTTTAAAACCAGAGGAGATCGATTATTCCAAGCAGTGGGACATAGTCTGAGGAATGCATTGCCTCCCTTTCTACGTTGTGTGAATTCTGTTCAAGCAACTGAAGACTGCTATTGAAGCAGAAATTTAGTTAGACGAGGGGTTTTGTATGGTTGTTTGTTCTATGTTTTCCACTTGTATTTAAATTTTCTTATGCATTGTATTTTACTTTTTTGTATTGGATCGCATTTTATTGTGAAGCACTTTGTGATTTTTATCTGTGAAAGGTGCTATACAAATAAACTTATTTACTTCTTCATCACACCTGAACCTGGCTCACTTTATTTCCATAACACACGTTTTACCCATACCACACTGTATACCACTATACCACAACTGCATGTAAACTGTGTATGATGGTGCTAATCTGTTCACCTGGCTCACTGAGTCAAACTTGTGTCAAACCACCACATTTCTCCTCACTATCACTGCCAATATGACATCACCTCATTTAAGTGGCAAGTGAAAAGTGTTTATTTTAAAATAAATATGAAAACAATAGGGCATTTTCCTTATAAACTACACCTATGACTCTCTCAACACAAACTGACCTTGATGTTGAGTATATTCATTAAACAACTATATTTGATTAGATTTGATTTGTGATGTAGGTAAGTTAAGTATGGAAGTTTATTCATATTTTGAACATATATAAGTTATGAGTTGTGACCTAAAGGGTTCAGATTAATCTGTTTTCACATTACATCTGGTTTATGAACCCGGGAGAGCAAGTCTGTGCATTTGGAGCTCACCGAACATCAACCGTGTTGTTAGACTCGTAGTCAAAAGCTTCAAAAGCTGCTTTGATCTTCTTGTGGACATCTGACACAGCTGACTCTGTCAGACAGTAGAGAAGAGAGGGACACCAGGAGCAGAGCCAAGAGCTAACGTTAGCTTAGCTAGTAACTGAACTCCAATGTCAAAACTTTCAAGCAAATAACTGTCGGCTACGGGACCATCATTTTGAAGGCATCATTATTATGGCGCCACGGGGCGTTTAGATACACAAAAACCTGTCCCTTTAATTGATGACTGAACATGAGAGTTTAATTAAGATAAGTCAAAGTCGGTAAGTGACGAACCTGCAGTTTGCTTGATCTCCGCCATGTTTGCCCTGTTGCCTAGCGACTGACTGGTTTCGTAAAGGAGCAGTTATGTAGCTAAATGAAAATAGTCAGAGCTATCTAATAAAACAAAGTACATTTTAATACTGTATTGTAGAACTATGGCACGCCGTTTTAACATTCCTTAAAACTTACTTGTCGCTATTAAAAGCTACTAATACTTATTTATTAGTCACTAAGTTAGTAACTATTCCATCAGTTACTAGCAACTCTTCCCCTCTTACAATTGATTAGATACTAGTAGCCTAACTATTTTTAGTTACTAGTAACTAATTGCATTGCATTTTTGCCATTGAAATCTATGGGGAATTGCAGTGCAGATATCACCATAGCATAGATTTCAGTGGGAAAAAAAATCTTCAATTAGTTACTAGTAACTAAAAAAGTTACTAGTGGCTAATAAATCAGTACTAGTGGCTTATAAATAGCGACCAGTAGGCCTACGTTTTAAGGAATAAATGTTAAAACCAAAAAAATCTTTATTGTGCCAATACCCAGAATTAATTAATGCAAACCATTGTTGTGTTTCTCCAACAAATCTTAGAAACAGGAGACAGAATGAAAGAAATCACTGCTTTATTTACTCCAGCTGTATAAATTCATTAAGGGTTAAAATATATATTTTTTAACAATTATTAAACCCTTTAATATTGTAAACACATTTCAAGCAGATTAAAGCATAATTTAACATTACATTAGATCTTATTTTAAATGGGGCCTTCCTTACCTCAATTATGAGCATGAAAGTCTTTAAGCCCATAGCCTAAAAGACCGGTGGCAAAAGGCTGTAACTGTCATTAAGAGCATAGTACTGTTCTGTAATTTCATGGTTCCCAACTCATTGAGTCACACTAGTGTACCATTGTGCCCTGTCACACTGGCTAAACTGAACTGTCTGTAAATGAGACTAGTTTAACCAAATAACAGTCCAGATGCACTCCTGGTGCATCAGTAATAGGTGCAAAACCAAAGAGTGGGTCAGACACAATAAGGCAAATCAGTGTCATCAACTACATAGAAAAACTCAAACACATTAAAAATATGCTAAATTTTTCAAGTATTACAGAAAATGGTAAATAAATACATTTCAAGCAAATAAAATATTAAAAATCAAGCACATTTGTTCAAATTATTTTAAATGAGATGATCAACTGTTTCACTTGCTGGGAGAAAATAAAAATACTCAAAAGTACTAATCTCTATTAATAATGGCTTCTGTTTTACTAATATGGATAAAAGTGCATTTTGAATTCAGGACTTTTTGACCTTTTACAGCTCTAAAAATCTTTGCATTCATAGTTAAAACCAATAGGTACTTGGTAATTGTTGTAGAAAAAGTTGTCTAATAAAGTGACAGGAATACTGATTCATCTTTTTATTTGTCAATAATTTATCAATGTCTAACTGTCAACTGAAACGGATGGTAGAATCTCAATCTCTTCTAGTGGCTTGACTCGAGAACTGAACCAGTATATGCAGATGCATTCATATCTCTGGTTGCCCCACATGAACAGGGGCATTGTGGTGCTGCCCCTGTTCTGCTGCTGGGGCTTCTGGGATTTGTTGTCCATGCTGTTCGTCTACTGGCTTAATGAGTTCTTCATCTGCTGCCTTTACTTCATGTTGAGGTTGCTCTTCATCTTGAGGCTGCAACTCCTCCGGAGCCTCCTCTCTCTGCTCTGCTGCTCCTGCCTGCTCCTCATCAGTACTGGGGTTTGACAGCTTCTTCTCCACTGCCACCTCCTGCTCCTGGTGAGGTGCGTTGTTGTTGCTGGAGTCCTGAGGTGGAAAATATAAGGTAATGTTACTGCACTCAACCATAAATGAGAATAAAATTAGGTACAGCTCAGTAAACCAATATGAAACGCATTCTTAAAATATACTTAAAATATAAACCTCAGTCTACATGTTAAATGTTGATAAAACATCAAAACTAATCATGTATTCTATTAAAATGTAATGAAAATAAATATTATAACGTACTTTTTTTTGTATCTAATGACAAAAACAAAATACAGACTTTGACAAAACATTTGCAAGCTCAAGGTACACTTACCAGCTTTTTGTTTTTATTCAAATATTTAATAAAACATTTGAAAAAGCTAGTAAGTGAACCTTTTTGAGTTGCAGGGTTGGGATTACTTTCATGTTTAATATTTTTTCACATTTTTATATCACAATGTTTTAACGTTTATTTTCTGAAGATGTTGTATGTTTGGTGGTTACAACATCAGTAAGCAGCAGTACAGCACCAGTAAGCACACAAAAGAATCACAACAGTAATAAACTTTTTCATAAATATACACTGCCTGACCATACTACATTATAATTACATAAAGTTGAGTGTTTCTGTAAATGGACAAGAGTTTGTAAATATGCAGTACCTGTGTGTGAGGTAATGAAGGAGACAGCAACTCAGATGGGGCCAACAGGCCGTCCTGGTTTAAATCCTGAGTCTGGAGTAAGAAATCTACCATAGACACCACCTGAACTCAGAAAACACCATATGCACACACACACACATATCAGATAAACATGTAAAAAAGTATGAAAGTGTTGGAGATGTACACACAAATACAATGTCAGTTCAAACACAAACACACACACACACACACACACACACACACACACACACACACACAGCCACTCCTCCTCACCAGCTCACTGGCCTGTGCTCCAGGTGTATGATGGGAGTTATAGTCTGAAACTAGCTTCATCATCTCCAAGCCATCCAGGAGTCCACTGCGATCGTAGTCAAAAAGACGAAACAGGAAGAACACCTCTGATACAAAGCAGGAGAAGACTGACATGTTTAATAACACATTCAATACACTGCTGCAGTATAAGTGCAGAGGATGTACAGCATGACCCCTCCCCCCTACTGTAAACACAGAAACACAACTGCAGTGATGTTTACAACTGATGGTTTGGGACACAGATGTCTACCAGAATAATTGCTTCTTTGGTCATCAGATATCCATCCATTGTCCATGACGACATTGAGTGAAAGGCGGGGTACACCCTGGACAGGTTGCCAGTCCAGGACACACAGAAACGAACAACCACTCACACTTACATTCACACCTAAGAGCATTTTAGAGTCACCAATTAACCAAGCCTAAATGTCTGGGGATGGTGGGAGGAAGCCGGCAGAAACGGAAGACAGAAACTGGCTCTTATAGGTTTGATGACATTATGGCCGTGTCATAGGATTCTCCTGTGTTCCCGTGGGGCTCGTCCAGTAGGAAACCTTCTGGCTGTGAGGCGCCAGTGCTAACCTCATCAGATGTCAAGAATGTTTATATTTTGCACAGCTTTAAAAAGATTTACCATGCCAAAGTCATAGAAAATTACTTTTTAGAACATTAGACATTGTTTAGCAATGCAGGATTTTAATAAACAGCCGTCTGTGTATTCAGAGTATGTACTGTATATTCAATAGTGATGATCAATGTGTCCATGTGTCCGAACGTATGTAAGTGTTACATCAGTAGGCGGAGATGTCTACCTTGCTCCCAGGTGCTGATTTCTGGTGCTCCTTGGTCCTCCTTCAGACTGGATTGAATGTAGCTTTGCAGCAACCTGTGGCATACGCAGCACAGAGTACATTTCAAACAATCATTTAATGTCAAAACTCCACAAACAGGGAAGTCACAGCCTGTGTGCTTTTTTTAATTTTAATTTCTTTTTTTGGGTGAGTGAGGGATGCTTGGTGAGTTTTTTTTTCTGTCTGCCTGTTTCTCGCTCGCTCTTTTCTCCCAGTCCCTGAGTTGTGGGACTGCCTCCCCGTGGCTTGGCGCTCTCTTTACAGCTGCTGGCAATTGCTGATTGACACCTGACTCCTGTGGCTCATCAGCGGCTTCTTAAGTCCTGGCTTAATCTGGCCTCCACTGGATTGTTAAGTCATGATCAGTAGGTGACGTTAATGTCTAGCCAGTTTTTGTACTTGAACCAGTCTGAAACCTGTTTTGGTCTGTTGTCTGCTGATGACCCTGCTTCTCTGTGTTTAGAGTTGAAGTTCCTGGTTTACCGGTTCTGCCTTCTGCTCTGCCTAACTTACAGAAGCTGCGAGGGAAACAAACATTCTCCAACCAGCTTCTCCAGCTACATCTGCCTTGCCTGCCTTTGCCACACCTGCCCTCCACCTGAGGAATTTCCCCTTTTTGCCAAAATCTTACCTTGCTTTGTTCTTGTTGTTCAATAAACTGTTTAAACCTTTCTGAACTGTCTGCTTGTCTGCGTCTGGGTTCTAGTCAAAACTCCTGACATTTAGAGCCAAAAATTGACAGAGAGGGGTCAGATTTATTCAACCCTGAGGGTAGTGACTAGCCACTGTGTCCGGATATAAATCAGACTGGTTGCAAAAGCTCTAAGAGGCAAAAGAAAGAAAAAAACAAAGTTAGAATCAAAATATCTAGATTTGTAAAATTGCGTAATTGTTTTGGACAGGAGACGAACTGTGAGCCGCTCTGCTCTTAAATGTGTATGAAGTAGCAGTGCTGTTTCAGTCCACAACATCCTGCTCAGGAGGAAACTCATTTTGATCAAAGTTTTTATCAGGAGCTTATAGAGGGTCTCAGTCTCGTCCTTCACAGTCTGTCCCACTTGATCTTGAGATGCATGTCATGGTAGAATTTGCCATAAATTTGAAATTTTTTTGTCCAATGCACAGGCAATAGATAAAGTAGTGCTCACATCCATGGCAACATGTTTGAAATACTTTAACACTCATCTTATAATAGAACATTTTGTTCCCGAAGAAGCCCTTTTTTCCATCAAGACTTCACAAAGGCCTCCTGTGCATCCTGAGCAATAGTTTCTCAGGCGAGGTGCAGATCCTGTTCACAAACGTGTCTGTCTGGTCATATGCTCAATAGACTTAAAGTACCACTGTGATAGAGTAGTGTTCACATCCATTAGTCCTATCAGCCAATGGAATGAAGCTGCAGCCACATTGTCACCAACAACATACAAATCCACAAAGTGGTTGTGTCTCTCATTTTGTTCCCTGAATAAATTAATCATGTAACTCACAGTGGGCCAGTTCATATTGCTGTACAGTAGCAGAGATAGCAAGGTAAGCCATTTTATTTGTGTGCGGGTAAATCTATATTTTCTCTGTCTCCATAAAGGAATCTCATAATTGCAATATAAAGCAGTGTTATTGCTCCTCTAATCTCTCTCTTCTATCAGTACATGGTACAGGCCACATCATTAGCACAACACAGCAGCCAAAGTCCACAGTGACCAGACAGCTGCAGCTCAGTACACTGAATCAGACAGCAGGTTGAATAAATTTGGATGTAGTTTGCATGTTGTGCCTCTGATTTCACTGCTAACTACTAAGACATACAGTAGTCTCACAAAACAACGCATGACGGTAAATATCTATATTCTTTGTAATTTATGTTTTTTATCATCATCTGAGGAAAATATTTTAATCTGCATTTTGAGCATTTAGTCATACTGTAGGAACAAAGATCGAAAAGGCTTTCTACTTACATACTGTATCAATCCTTCTCCTTTCAAGAAAGCAATTAAGCAAAGTTGTGGCTCAGAATGAGCTGGATGTATAACACCAGCACATTGTTTATGTGTCACTTACTTGCGATTCTCCTCTCCAGAGCCAAAGGGATTGGCTAGCGTTAGTGAAGGGGGATGGGTATCTAGTGATTCCTCCCTGAGAGACAAACAATTAATGATCTGAACTGTACCATCCTTACATGAGGCATACTTAATTTGCCATGTTTGGCAAAAGGTCTGCTTCAAATATCCTGATATTGCAGCCCTTGCTGATATGCTCATTGTGCAAAATCATTTTTTTTTATAAAAATGTATCTATTATGACAAAATAACAGTATATTTACTCGAAATACTAAAAATGTTTATGCCTAGGTATATATATAAAAGAAAAAGAAAGTGAGAGTGAAGCTTGAGAGTAGGTAGGTGGGGTTACCTTTGCGTCCCAGGTACACCTGGTGCAGCCAGGCACAAGTGTATGAGCAGGAACAGGACACATTGGACCGAGCTGCCCAGGTGAGACTCCATGAACATCCCTGCAAGCACACGATGTTGTAAATTCACACCACATCTGTACAAAATTAATTCTTAGGATGCAGTCATGAATTTATCCGCCCCAATTGAGATTTACTGTAGATGTCCCCATTCTCCTGCATATAATTACAAATTCGGTGTCGTGCTGCAGCTCATATGGAGCAGCAGCGATGCTAACACACAGCCACACCTGACCCACGGCTGACACCAACCACTCACTGCAGCGTGAGGACAGCCCGCATACACGTTGTAAACACTGACTATTTCTGATAAACTCACATCGTCTTCCTGCTTTGACATCACATGCCTGCTTTAAAACAAATACAAGTTAAAGGATGGCTAGTAGTAGCATAAAAAGACTAGCCCCCGGTTAAATATGTATGAACTGAAGTAACGCGCACAGTGAACGCATCATTGAGGTCTACAGCTGGATCAATACTCAACATCTGTACTCGGAGTGGTAACGAGCCTACCTGTCTGCATAGTTGATGTGTGTACCGTAAAAAACGCTAATTCGAGCAGCTTTCCGTTTACAGGTTCATATCTCCAGCACACCTCTGCCCCGCACCGCCTCCCGGTCTGCACTGCGCAACAGCGGCCGCACGCGCGCTCCCAGGCTGCCACGGAGATCGGAGTGTTTTGGTCAATGACAGGGTACACGTGGAAGATCGGAGCCGCCGTAGAGCCAGTGAGTTTGCGCGAAGAGCTTCTCTTTATGCTCCGGTCTCCGGGGTTTCCGCCACGCCACGTCCTCACCGACAGCCAGATACCGGTAGTGCGGGACAACAACCACATAGCTTTCAGCCTTTCCGGTCTTTAATAGGAGACATCAAGCTCAGGAGATGGTGATGACATGGTCAGGAGGAGATATACAGTATAAAGTCTAACATTCATCACACACACCTCTGGGTACTGGTCCCATACCACCAGCCTGCGAACACCATTTCATTGCTCCTATGTATATGTCTGTGCGTTAGCCTAGATGTGTTTAGTTCTGTAACTGGCCTACAGTTTAGGCTACTCATTGCATTCTGGTTTTTGATGAACCCCTTAAAGTTATTCAGAAAGACCGAAGTTAAATCAGTAATGCCACCAATAAAGCTAAACCCAGCAGGTCATCAAAAGAATATACACCGGAAATAAAAACATAGACGACTGTGTTCACACCACCAGGAAGAAGGGACATGATACAATTTATGTGGTCGATGGAATAGCATAAAATAGGCTACCTTTTTAATTGTTACGAATGCTTAATAAAGTCCTATTAAGCATTCGTAACAATTAAAAAGTAATTTTTCTTTAAAATGAAATGTAGGCTTATAGTGCGGTATGAGGAGGTGTATGCACTACTGGTATTTGACCACAAGATGTCCTAGTAACTCTTTATTTGAATTTATTCAAAGACATCCCATAGGAGTTATCACATCGGCAGAATATTATACTTCAGAAGATTAGGTTACTGATGTTATAATTATATCATAATTGTATCTACAAACATGTTATGGTCATAATTTTTTTATTATTATATTATTTATTTATATAAATCAGTAGTATAAATCAGGAGTATTTCATTAACAACAACATTAATGATTATTTTTACAAAGTCATCATATTGTTCAGAGTGACACACAGGTCAAGGTAAGTATGTGCAGTGTAATTATCATGTAAATCTTCCACTGGCTCTGCAAGGTGTGTAGTCTGGTGGCTGAGAATCACAGCACTGATGAATGTTCATTTGACATGACACATTTTAGATATTTGTTTTTCTTGAACACACCCATGGTGAAATCTCTAAACACTGAAACAACAGAAAATTCAGTTTCCTATCAAAGATTATAGGAAGGGAATGAAAAAACACAATGTGGCAGATAGGCGTTTTGACAGACACATATCTGTGTTCATCTTCTTCAAACTGAACTGCTTCTTAAATACACAGATTTGCTTCTTTAAAATAAATATATCTCACGAAAGTTTCATCTAGGGATTCTATATAATGATAAAAATGGCAGGACAATATTTTGACTATGTTTTTTATTAAGACAGATGAAGTGAAACAAAGGAGCATCTCACAAAGTTCAGCAGAGTTCATTGAGGCATCTACAGACATTGCTGTGCTTTTCTGAATCTGTGAGGTTCTTATCATTTCAGATTTAATGCACGTTGGATGGAAGACATTACCAAATAGTTGCATTCATTTTGGAACATGAGATGGATAAATCGTTATATAACCTTGTGGCCACATTTTCTGGTTCAGAAGTGCATACAGTTCAAAGTAAAAACTCAAACACAAGACAATAGTTTCTACGTTCATTTCTTGCTTCTCTGGACTTCAGGGATAACTGGGGAGCTAAAAATTCAACATCCCAAAAAAACACACTTGGTTTTACTGCAGTAGAGAATGATTGCACGCCTCAAAATAAAACTCATGAGCAGCAACAGCAACATTTGAAAGAATCCTGTTAATATGTTGACCATTTATTTCATCAAAGTGTACAGCTTTATACATAGTGTAGTGAGATTACATATAAAAATATTCGTGGAACATTTTTCTATTTAAGGAATGGTATAAAGTATAAAATGGATGGAAATAAAGAAAAACTTGATCTGGCATGCTGCACAACCCTATGACCTACAGACTGGGTTTTTAACATGCAGTTCATGTCAGTGGGCTAGGAGGCACTGTTTAGAGGCATAGCCTAAATTAGTCAGACAGGCTACTTCTATCACTGTAAAATGGTTGGATTTTGAGCTAAACTGCAGTAGAATACCCCTGACTCTTATTCGCTAATTCATTCCCCCCATCCTCTTCTCATCACCTCACTCTCCTCGGTTGTCTCTTGTCTCACACACACACACACACACACACACACACACACACACACACACACATATTTCTCCGCCAGGACTAAAGTTTGAAGCCTCAATGCAGAGCTTCATTGGATTGTATGGGTGAAAGCAGTGGCGAGAGGGAGGGTATAGAAACGGCACAGGGTAAATAAAAAAACAAGTCTGAGAGACGGAAACAAGGGAGGTGCACAGGGTGAAAGGTGAACAGAGATTGAGGCAAGTCAAAGGAAGAAATAGTTTGGAACAAGAACCGATGCTTTCACAACACAATGCAGTCTGTGTGGGTGTGTGTATACAGATGTGTTTTAGTGAACCAGATAATTTGACTGTTACCCATGGACAGAGCAGGACTAATGTTTGCACCCTCTCTCTCTCTCTCTGTCACACACACAAACACTGTTTTCCACATCCACACTGTCCAGTCTACATAAGTTGAGGGCGACAGGAGGTCAGCACAAACCTCCTTTCTCTAGTTCTTTACTGATCTCATCATATTGGGATATTTGTTGATCCCGAAGGAGAAATCCATCTTTTTGTGCTGTGTCGTTGAAGGACAAGTATCTGAAATAACTAACCTGCTCCTGTGTCACCTCTCTACACCTCAGCGAGTTTAGTGCCCAGATGAAGTCCGTCTGAAACACTGTCCAAATTATTTTGTTGCATTTGATTCCAGTGTTTCAGATACTGTTCAACATTGGTTACAAGAACTTTGGTGCATGTAGGAGAGCAAGACCACACAATTAAACCAACTTATACAGGGAGAATAGAAATGTTTAGCATTGTTAATTGTCAGTAATTAAAGGATAAATGTTGTACCAACAAACCAAGTTACTCTTTGCTTCAACAAAAGTGAATGTGTTCTGAAAGCTTAGTATTTTTGATTCATTCAAAAAACTGTAATTTTAGATTAAACTTTACTGCATCTATAAGGGCTGAAGTAAGAAATCCTGCCGAATGTATTGCAATTGTAAGTTGCCATCGCAATAGCTTCCCATGTTACAGTATTTTCCAAGTCAGACTTTCTCATTCAGTATTATTTTAAAAAAGATATGTATATTTTCTCATTCAGAAGTAATAGCACTGACCGGCAGTGTGATCACAGCACTGACAGACTCAGTGCATGTAGAGAGTTGCACGTACGCATGTATAAAGGTTAGGACGGGAAGTGTTTTGTTTTCCTAATGGAAACTCTGAGACCCAGACCTGCGGGTGGGAAAGACCAATCACACCTTTCTTAACACACATGAACTAGTCACAATCATATAATGACACAAATACATTCAAACATCGCCGATGTGTGATTCACAGAGTGGCTTAGCACTGTAGTGGCCCATTTCACAGCTGGCTAGTACACAAGCATCCTACTGACACTCATTTACAGGAAGGGAGATTATTTGGAGTAATTGTTAACATGAGTTTCTGCCTGGTGTGTGTGTGTGTGTGTGTGTGTGTGTGTGTGTAATGGCAATGCATTTAGAAAACACTTTTCATTTCCTTCTCACGCACAGCAGGCGAACGAATAGAGACACGGAGACATGATGCAGAAAATTGGACCATCAGGCAGCGATGTTGTTCTTACAGATCACACCACACAGAATGTGCTGTTATTGTTAACACGAGTCTCTTGCTGCCGTGACTGTGTGTGTGCTTTAGTTGAATAGAAACACCAGAGGAACAAGCATAATCTGGCTGACAGTGCCGTGGGATGATGCGGCTTCCAGTCACAGATGCTGGTCCATGTTTACTTTTACTTGGCCCTGGAGCATTCAGTACTTATGATCTAAAACAGCTGATGCACAGGATTTTTTGAAAGGGCCAGTTTGTAGGATTTAGTGGCATCTAGAGGTGAAGTTTCAGATTGCAAAACAGTGCTACACATTGGTGTTGGTTGAGATGAGTCCCCATCCCCCATCCCTTGAATTGCTTTGAGTATCTAAGATAAAGCACATCAAATGTCAAATGTGCACTTACTTATTTACTGATGTCTGTCCCATGCAGATCTTACTATAAAAACGCACGGGGAGCAGCCTTTAAGACTGAAGCTGCCATTAGTACCTCAAAAGCAAATCCTCTTTCATATTTTCCTCTTGTCATTTTCATTGAAAAGTAGGTAAAGTGGGCCAGCTCAGCTTTTGCACAGAGAATACTTGGATGGTTAATTGAATCATGCAGTACAGAAGTCTGAAAGCGTCTACATTTATTATATTTCTCCACACATTTATTCACATTTCTGTGTGTTAAATGTTTTCCATTACTACCTATGTTGTCGGTGAGGCGAGCCATACTGGGTGTATGCCTTTTTTACATACGACATTTTGACATGTCACAGCAGGAAAAGCACATGTGTAAACAATAAAATGAATGACGGCTGAATTTCATTTAGTTGCTTCAGTTTCAGGGTCCTGCTGCTATTGTGCATGCTGGCTCATTGTCACACTGTCATGACTTACTGGGACACTTAAGTAAAACAGAGTCATCCTTAATGTTATTAGCAACACCTGTGATTTTCAGAGTGAAAAGTGACACAAATGTCAGCCCAGCACACCCTGTACACTCCCACACAGTGCAGCGTACAGATAAAACACAAGTGTAGGTGTACCACGGGTGTTCACCAGTCTGCACACTACACTGCACACATATGCAGAGGACACTTCTGTCTGCTCTCTCTCTCTCCAAACAAATCTGTTGTTTTATCTGATCTCTTCTGTTGTCCAAACCAGATGAAGGTGAATACTGTGGCTTTTTATAATCATGGCACTCTATTTTTAACACACTTTTTTCCCCTTGTGGGGTCTACTTTGATCATTGTCTCTATCAGTGCAGAAGGAAACACTACGTTTTCTAACCCTCTTTCTCTTCCCCTCATCTATCCTCATATGCCCTCACTCTCCTCTCTTCCCTGCTGACATCTCCTCCTCAAGGATCCTCTCCTTTTTACTTTAGCACCCGACAGCCCTCCCTTG